TTCGAACGGCTAACAGTTAGTTTTCATTGATTTATAACGTGCTGATTTCTGATTGGCTTGGACAGATAGACAGACAGACAAACTTTTCGCATTTTCAGCCCATGATTTTAATGTGTATAACCCTTTCTTTCAGAAAAGGGAATACTTGAAAATATAATTTAATGGAAATTTTCGATCTTCTTTCGATCATTATCAACCTTTTAACACGACCTTATGACATGATCTTATACTACAAATATATGAACACAATAACATGAACAAAAACAAAATAATGAACACAAATATATAGAAATAGTCATACACATCATACTATAACTTAACATCATAACCATAACCATGAATGTTCTTTAAAATCATTCCGCTGTTTACGTAGCTACTGATAAGTCGCATCGTTTTCTTTCCTTCACACGATATTATATTTTTCTTTCCTTTATACTTCTCTTTATTTCTTTGTTCACGTGTTAGCGTGATTAAGAGGAATATTTATTTGGTTATTTATTCCTCTTTTTTCGAATTTTAAGTCATTATAATGACTTCTAATTCAAACTTTAATCTTAATGATGGAGAAGTTGCTGAACAATCATTAGTTAATCATTCATCAACAATTGATTCTAATCTTATGAATTCTTCTACGTCATCAGTTCGGCGTCCTCTCTCTATAGATGTCACTGATGATTTTAGTGAAGTATCATATAAAAAAAGTTCTAATCGTCGTTTAAAGCAAGTTACTGATCAAAATAATCATGTTGTTATTAATTCACCTATTGCACGTGTTAATTCTGTTAATCAACAACGTTCTGGAAATGATAATTATAATGTTAATGCTGATAATGTTAACTCTAATCCATTATTAACTCAAAAGTTCTCGATTACAAATGAATCAACACGTTATGCGTTAACTCGTTTTCCATTTTCACCTTTTGTTTTACAGTTTAAATCAGGAAAGGTTACTGTTAATCAAGTTAAAGATGAATTAGTTCGTCACTGTAAAACAGTTCATCAAATTGATATTCATATTTTGAATTATCGTTTAATTAAACCAAATTCCAACATTAATCAATATAATATTCTTATTTATGTTAAAGATGTTATATCATTTGCTTGTATTTTAAATCATGAACATTGGCCAAAGTTATTAGGTAATGAATCATATATGTTATCTTCGTTACCTTCAATTCCTCCTCAATTATGTTGTATAATCAAGAATGTTGATTTAAATATCAATTATGATGAATTTTGTGAAGCTATTCATACTAAATTTCCTGAAGTTAAAAATATAGTACGTTTAAAAAATAAATTTCAAAATGATATTAAAATGGTTAAATTAGAATTAACATGTCCAAATGTTCGTGATAAACTATTAAATGATCGTCGAATTCTTATTAACCACATTTCTTATGTTGTGGCAGAATTTTTAGCTCCTGCTCATGTACTTATCTGTTCTAAGTGTATGGCACTTGGTCATTTTCAAAAACAATGTTCACAAACTAAAGAAACTTGTCGTACATGCAGCGAAGTTGTTGATAATATGAAGAATCATATATGTTCGAAGATAGAAAAATGTACACATTGTCGATCGAACCACAAATCTAGTTCTCTTAAATGTTCTGTTGTTAAAGCTTATCGTGCAGAACTTACACGTAAACTATTATATTTAAATAATCCCCGTGCAGCTACAGTTGATATTAATAATATTATGCAAAATTATGTATACAAGTCGTCGAACTTTAGACCGCCTCCTGTTTCTTATGCATCAGCACTTAATTCAACAATTAATCCTATGATTAATCCTATGATGAAAAAACTTGACGAATTAATGAACACCATGTCTGAAATGAAGAATCAACTTGCTAGTTTTGAAGTTAAACAAAATACAATTGAACAATTTATAATTGCTAAACAAGAAGGTGATGATCTTATTAAACAAAATTTAGATGCACTTGCTAAGAATCAACTTGATATGAAAAAAGACGTTATTCATCATGGTTTATTTATTGATCGTCATGAAAATTTATTTATGAACTTATTGTTACCTATGTTTCAAGATGTATTTATATTTATCTCATCATTAAATAAAGATAAGAAGGGTAATACATTAGATACTGATTTAAAAGATAAAATAGAATGTTACCTTAAACATATGAATAAAGTTAAAGAAGGTAAAAATTTCACAAACTAATGTCTTTGTCGCCTTTAGCTATTCCTTTTTTCTCATGTACTTCTTCCAATAAACTATGTAAACGTAATGAGTTGTTAGCTAAAGCTAAAGTTATGTTATCACGTTTTGATTTTTATCTTCTTTCTAAAATTCTCAATGAATGGGAGAATAGTGTAACTATTCAATCTTGTTTTTCTATTTGGCAAAAGTCTGTATCTAAAAATGTGAATTGTAATACTTCTTCCTGTTCTTCTTCATTACATATTTTATCTTTCAATGTGCGTGGTCTTGAATTAAGATGGCAAGAAGTTCTTCTTCTTTTATCTTCTTTGAAATTGGATGTTCTTATTCTTTTGGAAACTGGTCCTCTTGATTCGTCTTTTTTTGACAAAATTTGTCATGACTTTCATATCTTTGCTCAAAAAGGTGAAAATAAGAATGGAGGCGTTCTTATGTTAGTAAAGAATTTTATAAAAGTTTCGCGAATTGAATGTAAACTACCTAATGTTTGTGTCGTAGATGTGAAAGGTGTAGAAGTTGTACGTTTATTAGGTGTATATGCACCGACGAGTAAATCTTGGAATTGGCAAGATTTGTCTCCTTATGTGACTAAGAAATGTATAATTTATGGTGATTTTAATGTTGATTTTTGTCAAGATATTCAAAAAGCAGAATCTCTTTTATCTTGGGCTGATGAACATTTTCTTGCTCCTTTTCTTACTGGTATGCCAACTTCTCTACGTTCTGATAGAGAAGTTGACTATGCTTTTGCAAGTAATATTAATATTACTATTCAAGCTTATAGTGGCAAGACTTCAAGTGATCATGTGCCGATTTTATCGGTTATTCCATTTAAGATAGAAGAAAATAATGTAGGAAAAAATGTTCATTGGAAGGTTTTTTCTCTTTTTACTGAATATACTTTCTCTTTTTGGGAAGGATTATGAAACTTTGATAATCTTGATAATTTATATAATGATTACACAAAATTTTTATTTCTTCTTTCTGCTCGTTGTACGATTGTTTTTCCTATTGAAAAATATCGTCCAGCTATTCCAGTTGAACTCCGTTCCTTCCTTTCATTTATTAGAGCGCTTTCCTTTCGACAAATGAGAACAAAATGTAGCGAACTAAGAAATGAGGTTAACTATTTGAGAAAAATTGCTAAGAAAGAACTTAAAAATTTCTTTTCTTCTAATCTTTCGTCTGTTCTTCGTTTTCGAAATTCTTCTTCACCTGCGGGTAATTTCTTTTGGTCTAGAACAAAGAAACATCTTAAACCTTCTTCTTCTTCTGTTCATGCTCTTATTGATTCTTCAGGTAAAGCTAATAAAGATCCCGTATTGATGTGTGAAGTAGCAGCTGATTATTACGAAAAATTTTTTCGCAAATCTGAAATCATTAGACCTCATCCGTATACTGATTCTCCTTTTTTACATCATGAAAATGTGGATGAATTAATTCCGGAGGTAACTTTGGAAGAGTTGATTTACACTGTGCAGGTTAAACGCAAAAAGAAATCAGTTGATGCACATGGTATATGTAATTATATGTTTCATTTCCTTGATTTAACTCATTGGTCTTTGTTTCTTAAACTATTCAATCATTCTTTTCAGAATACAATTCTTCCAGATGCTTGGAAAGAAACTAGAATGATTTTAATTGCTAAAAAAGAATCTATATGTTCTCCTGCTTTAACACGTCCAATTTCACTAATTGATTCTTTTCTTAAGATTGGTGAGAGATTATTTCTCAATAGATTTCGTGATGTTCTCTTACGTAGAGGTTTACTTCCAGATAATCAATCTGGTTTTCGTGATGGTTTTCGTCTTCAAACTAGATTATTATTATTTCTTGAGGATGTGTACAGTTTAATGTCTAATAGTGCACCCGTTTGTACTATCTTTATAGATTTTCGTTCCGCTTTTGATCAGTTGTGGCATAGTGGTTGTATCGGGAAACTTTTTAGGCTCGGTATACCTCGTTCTTATATTTTATGGATTGACGCTTGGCTTCGACGTCGGAGATGTTATATTGAAATTAAGGGTCATAAATCTCGTTATTTTAATATTGAGAAGGGTGGACCTCAAGGAAGCGTGTTAACTCCCACATTGTTCATTTCTTATCATTGTGACATGGGTCAATTTCTTTCGAGTTGTACAAGTCATTTTTTTGCAGATGATGTTGCCGCTATACTTGCAGGTCAAATGGGGGTTCGTTTTACTGATCAATGTCTTGATCTAGAAAAACGTGTTAAATCGTTTTTAGATCGACTTGAATTTTACTCATGTTTATCTGATCAACCGTTAAATCGTTCAAAAACTGATGCTCTATTTAGTGCTCGTGCGATAGGTTTGCCCAAATTTACTATTTCATTTGATAGTGATGGAGGTGATCAGATTAAATGGAAAAAAGAATATAAGTATCTAGGATATATTATATCCTCTAAACTTGGTTGGGGAAAATTAATTAAAGATGTAGAATGTAAAGTCAGAAAGAGGATATCTCTTATAAGATCGTTTAAACTTTTTGGTTGTTCTTCACCTAGTGTTCGTAAAGTATTATTTTATTCTCATGTTCTACCTATATTTACATGGATCTATCCTGTTTATCCTCTTTTGACTCGTAAACAACAGGAAAGTATGTGTAAGTTCTATTATACTTCATTACGTCGTGTTCTGTTTTGTCTTGAATGGAATGATATTTTTTTTCATATGTACTTGATGAGTTATCTCTGGAAGATCGTTGTTCTGCGTACTGGAATCGATATCTTATTGCGCTTTCTGATTCCACAGATGGTAATCTTATTTTCGAAAAAGCGAATCTATGTGAGTTTAGGAAAAGTTGGTTAGATAAAGAATTTTCTATTAGATGTCTAAGGAAATCAAAAAGATTTGTTCCTAATCATTCCATATTAGAAAAAGTGGTTACATGGCTCTCGTCTATTCCGATGAATTCTTCAGTTCCACATTTTGAGATGCAAGATATTGAACTTCTTGAGAATTTTCCTGAGTCTTTTTGTTAGCCTTAAGTTGTTTGTTGTTTTTTCTTAGTATTATCTTTATGTTAGTTTGTCACTTTAGTTTATTTTTTTTCTTATTTCCATATAATACTCTTTGTTCTTTCATAACTCTATGATTTTCTTGTAGTCGTTTATCATATTATATTTGATGTGTTTTCTGTTTTTGTCTTTTTCTTTTCTTTTGTACTGTTAGGATCGAATGATCGCAGTTATTATGCAAATAAAAAAAAAAAAAAAAAAATGTTCCTAATAATACTAATCCTATCAGCTATGTACTTCATTCCAGTGATATTGATGTCAGTCAAGTTGCATTTACAGGTGATAAAAACTAAAACCAATAAATATGATTATGTCTATTTTTAATAGGTACACGTGTATTTTGTACATTTGCATTTTTACAAGCTATTGCTACAAAATCATTTATATGTTATACAATGCATGCAACTGTGATGAAAAATATCTGTGAAAGAATTATTCGATATTGTCACAGAGGACTTATTTTTCTCGAATCTCACAGTTTCGACGATACTTTCTATGGTGATATAATGAATAACGATGATCTTGAAGAGAATACAGTAGAACGAAAGAAATAATAGATGATGATGGTGAAGTTCAAATTATGACAACCACTTATGAAACACATCGATGCTCACTTCCAACTATCGACTCCTATCTTCTTCAGGAGGCATTTATCAAACGAATTGGTTATAAACAATTCGAATAAACATGTTCATATCTGTAGAGTAATAGTTCACAATTTTAATCGAATTCTAATTGTTAGTATTATTAATCTGCTTCATTTATCTAAATCATTTTTTATCGAATATTTTATAGTCTATACGTATTATAAATAAATAAATTAGAGCATGGAAAGATTAGTATCTGAATTATATACTTGCTTTGTATTTAGATTTTTCAGATTGAAAAAACTTAGTATTACACTTAACAATTATCAACTCGTTAACATGTCAAACTCATCACGTAAGAGAAACAAAAAAAACATATCATTATTTTATGAAGAAAATTTTCTCATTATAGAAAATACAATAAATAGCAATAGTGCTGCTCAACAAATGAAATCGAATGATCCAGCCGAAGTGAGATACTTTATTTTTTGTAATATTAAAAAAACCATCTTTTTCAGATATCAAATTCTTCAAATTCTTCAGAAAAAAGATCTTTTTCCGAAGATATCGATACTCAAACAAAAAAAATTAAAATTGAAACTCCATTACTTGCACAAAAAGCTTCGATGCCTTCTGGTACAAGTGCTGTAGCACCCAAATTTATGAGTGCAGCTGCTATGGTTGCATCACGTTTAGAAATTAAAGATGAAGAGTTTCTCAAGTTTGCAATCAAATTTCGAACGTGAACATGGCATTTAACTGTTCATGAAACAAGCACGTAGCAATGAACAATAATAGTTTTTTGATGCATGTTTATTAATCAAGCGTTTTATCTTTTTAATCACCACCATTATTTTATTCATATTGAAAAAAAAATATAGATGTCATTTAAATATTATTATATAATCGTACATTGTGTTTACTTTTAGATAAACGATAGTCATATCACTTTGGATGATATACGTACATACAATTTACTTCTGATTAATTTTTTTAAAATAAATACACTAGCATACATTTCACATATAGCGTGTCTAAATTTCTGTTTTTCTCTATTTTATGACGACATTTCATTGATAAAATTTTTTTTTAGCCTGATTGGATTATGAAAATTGATAAATATATGTGCACCAATAGATTATTTCGTAGCGTTTTCTTCTTTTTCTTTTTTTCTGACAACGAAAAACTATACAACGATTTAATCAGTGAATTCGTTTGCTTCTCTTCTCATGCTATTATATTACGAAAAGAAAAAAAAGGGAAAAAAAAGAAATATCACATAAAAGTGTTAATTGATATATTTGCTATTTGCGTATGTATATCGTATGTAGAGAAATAAACTTTTCATTGAAATGTGGCAACAAAAGACATTATTTAAAAAATATTTTTAATCTTATGGTAAACAACGCTAAAATGATACTATAAATTAATATATAATAATGTTACACACATAAATTCATTCATAAAAAAATATTTTGAATACATTTTTTTCAATATTATAAATAAATCATATCAGTACTTTTATGGAGAGTGCTAATCAAATATAAGTGATAAATGTTTTTTGCACGTGAAGTGTGAAATTATAAATGGCTATCGCTTGCCATAATTACACATAAATACGATAGTTGATAAACTTTTATTGATTGAAATATATCTCAATAAATAAACTGATATATATATATGTGTGCATGTACTTATTAATAATACTCGTTGAACATTTTGTTTTTTTAGCATCTTTTGAATAATTAATATCATATATACAAAACTTTCAACACGTATTCAATGGCAAATTTTAATGGGAATTCCAATCCAGATCATATTAATCTATTACCAGTTGAATTCGCTCATACGGCATTAGATTTAGATTGGAATGACGATGAAGTGTTTCGTGCTGGATATCCATTCTCAGATATTCCAGAAATGAAATCAAATGGTTGGGTTCTCTCTTCTTATAAATCAAATTAATACCATTTTGTTTCTAGAAGGCTGCGAGTCATACAATATTAACTCAATATTTGATGATACTTTTGGTCAACCGAGTAATATAGGTGGCGATAAAAAATTCAATTGACATATAAATGTGATAAAACTGTTTGATATATTTATAATAGGCGTTGCTATTCCAATACCGAAAGAAAATGATCAATTAACTGAATTGTCGGTTCAACGACAAGTGAAAATTGCATTGCCTAATAATATATTCAACAAGCATTTTTATTTTAGAAAAAAGAACTAGATAGTCGATTAGGAGCGAATCTCACAGACGCACGGAATAAAAATTATGAAATACATGCAAGTCAATTAATCAATTATGATAATGAAGAGCTTGACGATGGTCATCAGGATGATGTTAAAAATCAAATTAGCGTCACCAACATTGAAACTCTTCAACCATTGGATCATGTTCAAATAAAACATTGACTCGTCACAAACTAGATGTTGAATTATATACTAAAACGTCTTCTGTCATATTTTATTCTCGCATGCATCCTTTTTAATTTTTAGTTTCTGTCTTTTTTTGTTGTACTCTTTTTATTCGTAAAGTAGAAAAAATTAATAATGTTTATCACAATTAAATAGAATGCTTCACGTATTCTTATTTAGAAGAACTCATTCAGAAGTGCCAACGAAAATGAAAACCAAGTTTGAGAAAAAGAACAAACCATTATGTATACTATGCTTGTATACAACTATTCTCTTCTGATTAATTGAGATTGAAAGGTGTCAATTGAGTTGTAAACAGTTTTTTGCTATTCGATATTCCATCAATGAATTTGTTCGATTATGATTGATGATCAATGATTAGCCATTTCTATCGTCGAAGATATGAACTAATCATATATGGTCTGATGAATGCCTTCACATTATGTATATCTAGCATATGAACTTGACATGAGCTCCACGGGAGATTTTTCTTAGGTATATATACGAGATAGAACTGATGCATAAAGAAATTTGCTTCTCATTCACATAAAATGAGAATTATTTTAGTGTATTATGAAGATTTTTATATCTCGACTTTTTTAGATTTATTATATACACAATGCATTCATCAACATACGAAAACGAAACCGCTGCACAAGACAACTTGAGTGCCGTCGCCGGCTTCACTGTATGGGGCCATGCCTTCTACGGCGATGCCATGGCATGCGCAGCCTCGGCGGCGGCAGGTACCGGCCACAAGCGACCGATGATACGGGGAATGCCAGGTAAGTGATGTTCTTATAATATGTTTGAAATAATACTTTTTTATTTTTCTTAAATAGGCAGCATGTGGCAGTGCTACTCGGCGCGGGATGCCGACACGATGACCGACCAGTTCATACCGGTTAAGCCTATCAAGGTCGGCCTAATGCTCGGCGCTGATAGGCCAACGGCTATGCACCTGGTCGGGTATATAGGAGGTGAGCCGGTGTACAAATAACACCAGCAACACCGGCCACGGGTAACAATATTTTTTTTAAATTTTAAATTTTTTATAAAACATTGATATTTTATTTAGATCAAGTTTGTTCCTGGCCCGTGCCAGCTGTAATGGCCGGTACCAACACTCGGCATGTTGGTCGGCATGCTAACCGACCAACATGCCATGTAGGTAAGCAACTGTAAATTTTGTAAATAAATTCCTCTCTTTTTCTGTTTCTTCTTTCTGTTTTGTTCTTTGTAATTTTGTTTAAAACTCAATAAATATCTTCTCAGTATATAACATTTTTTGTTTCTTTTCAAAGAAATTTCTATTATATTATAGAATCATTAGAGTATACAGTCTATAAGACTTTAATGTTTAAAAAAAAGTTAGATAAAAATCTATTTATTAAGATTCGTTGGTATTAATTAAATACACGTTCATTTTCTTATTATGATCAATTTATTGTGCTTGATCTGAAGAAAAAAAATGTCTAGAATACATATCTTTTTAATTCAAATTTAATTAGTATAGATATAATAGAAGAAACAAATTTTTCGTCTTTATGAGAATTTTTTCGATTATGCGATTGATTCAATCTTTATCTAATATATTGCTATTGCCTACTACGGTGGTACATATAATAAAATTGGAACATAATTTTATTTGTCGATAAGTTACAACAAAAAAGAAAATTAATCATTGACATAAGAATAAGAACGAGAATATTTTTTACAGATTTACTAATATTTATTCATTGAAACTTGTATTAACTCTGTTAATAAAATGTTCTTTTCTTTTTCGTTTATCTGATGATACAATGTGCATCTTTTCGCTCATTTCGTATAAATTGAACATAATTAATAAATGAATCAAATGTTAACATAATTAGATTTTCAAATTCATTTTTCAGATATATTATTCTGATAATAGAAATAATCAACAAGATTGACAAATATTATTAAGTGTAGTCTTATATCTACGAATAAAATTGTACAAGAATGTTTCAATCGAGCGTTTGCTAGTCTCAATGGTAAGAAGATGTTTTTGCGTATCAAAATACTCATAATATAATTATATTTTTTTAGGAGTTGTATATGGTTACGGAGTATATTCCCATGAACATGCGCGTTACAGCTCTAACTATAGTAGATTAGACGGCTGACGTGAACGAACAATGTTCTTAGCTTGTGTTTTGATTGATACAACATGTGCTGGTTCATCATCGATGAAAGTACTACTAGTAGGAGTTGATACAACAACAGATGGTCAGCATATTTTTGTCGTTTAATATCATGCTGGTGCACACGATGAATAATTTATAACATACAAACGAAATTTGTATCATTTTATTTTCGATTTTTATTCACATATATTTGACATTGATTTTTGAATAACAAAATTTTTTAAACAAAAATAGCATGAGAGGAGTAGTTCCAAAGATCGTATTATATAGTCCTGTGATAAACTGCATGATGATCAAATAATAAATATACATATCTATATGTGTATATAGACAACTTCTTAAACAGGGTCTAATGATTTGATAATAACTTTTGAAAAGTACTAAATCGTTCGTAAACGATAGTTTAATATGTTCTTAATAAATAATTTATTCTGACACTCGTTGTCACAGTTAACAGTACAAGATCAGAGCTGTTGAATATCAAATTAAAAAGTTATTGTGCAAGAATCATTATAAATGAAAAACTAAATCTCAAATTTAGTCGATCTTGTATCATTTATGTTCTACTAGAAGAACACTCTAGTAGGAAAGAATAGTTTAGACTGTTGTTCAATTGGAAATAATTCATTTCTATGAAATAATCACTTACAAAATATACATAGACGTTTAATACTATTTGGATTTAGTATCTTTTAATGGTTATTCTTATTATTAATAGAATGCATGATTGAATCCTAAGATAACTGACTTAGTGTTAGATTTTCCATTAAGTAGTACAAGTTCAAGGCTGAAATCTATATCCAAGTATGAAAAAAAATCAGTGCATTGCTAATGATAAACTAGCATATTTATCTGATTCTATTTTTTATAGATCTATACAGAATCGTCTCCCATGAAATAATATATCTTAAGAAAAAGCAGAAAGCATAAAAAACAATAGTCGTATATATATCATATTAAAAATTGAGATATGATACTTTTTATAAGTATAAAAGACTGATTTGTTACATATAAATATCACGTTTTTTTGTGATTCTCGATAAAAAAAGTCATATTGATCTTCATTAGACGAACTATTTGGATTTTTCTTATTAAATCGATACATTGAGCTCGTATTACAATTCAGATATTTATTAAAGATGTATTAATTATATAAATATTTCATCTTATTATTACACACAGACAGTTTACATGCACGAAAGCATTGTTTGTGAACTGTTCCAAAGTTGTATGAAAATTTGATAGAATTTAAAGAAAAACAAATTTTAGCAGCTCTGTTATTCATCAAACCTAAGACGTATACATCAAAAGCTTTTAAATAAAATTTGATCTTGAGAGGGGGTTAGCAATTCATGTATAACTTTAATATGTCAATAAGTATGTGACGCAACGGTTAACGATAAAAAAACACATTCTTCCATATAATAAATGTTAAAGAACGAAAGAAGTGCATAATGAAATTGTCGTAATATGCACATCTATGGTAGTTCTGTTGTTTACAATTACTCTAGTGAAATTCAAAAATATAAATGCTCAATAACGGAAATGAAAATGACGATATCAATTAACTGATATAATATCAAGGGGGAAAATGCAAACTTTTGCACTTCAAGTGAATTTGAGCCACTTTATGCTACTTTGCACTACTTTGTGCTACTCTGCACTACTTTAAGTTACTTTACGCTACTTTTAAAATACTTTATGCT